CTCAGCGCCTACTCGTGGTTGCACACTTTGCTGGGAGATAGATAGATGGTAAGTGCCCAGGACCTGTACCACCAACCCTCCTGATAGATGCTTCACTCGGCTGTGGGCATCTCGTTGGTGAACGTCTGAAGAAACTCACACGCAGCTCACTGTATTTAACAAATGTAAAACAAGCCTAGAAACGTAACTATAGAGGTAGCCACACATTGCTGTGTCCTTGTAGTTTTCAAGCAACTTTCTGGCATTTCACTATGTGAAACATCTGCTATTAATTTCTTTCAAGTGGTAATTCAGTTAAACTGAAAAGATTCAGCATTGGTTAGAAATAACAATGTAGTCTGGAAACTGGCATGATAGTATGATAATGTGGTTTCACGAAGCTTTCATCTTTGAGCAAGTGTGTTCGTATCAGCTCTGAAGAGCACTGGGTTTTATTTTTAGCTTTTTCTTTGACTGTTATTTTTTTGTGGAGTATTACCTGGAATTTCTTCTTACAGGTCCAGTTCATGAGACTGTGTATGACTTTTGGAGAATGATATGGCAGGAGCAATCGGCTTGCGTTGTGATGGTCACAAATTTAGTGGAAGTTGGGAGAGTAAGTTTTTGTTTTGTTTTTCTTTTAATGCTAAAAGCCTAAAGAAAAACTTACTGATAAGACACACTGTCAGCAGAATGTAGAAGAGTCTTGTGATGGACAGCCCTGCATCCTGAGAGGTGGGGAAGCAGGAGAGTCCAGACATTGTTGCAATTGTGGTATTGTGTAAAACCAAAGCTAACTTCTGAGGAAGACTGATGCTGTGTTGCTTTCATGAGTAGTAAAAAATTGTCTGAATCCGAAGTTCATATTTCAGCAAAATGCATTTGTGTATTGTAACTCAAATGAGCAGAGTAAGTGGACTAGTGAGCAAATGTGCTTCTATATCAGTGTCTAGAAATCAGCAAATTATTTGCAGTTTAGCAGTAACACATCCCTCAGGGAGTAACATAAAGTGTCCGGGATTTCTTGGAACAGTTTGATTACTGATATGAAATGCATCCTAGTTTAACATAAGTGGAAATGTATTCCAGAGCTCAGCACTAAAAAAAAAAAAAATGCTCATTTAGAAATGAATTTGGAATCTAAGTACATCCGTGTAAAGCAGTGGAAACTCCTTATAGCTAGTGCTTAAGTTGACAGAACAGCCATTAGCCATGACAAGCCACACGAGTGCATGGTCATTTTGGAAATAAATGTGGTGTAGTGCAGTACATGCAGTAATGTATGCTCAACCTTTTATTTTCCTTTGGTGTAAAATGCATTCTCATTTTGTATTTAGGTCAAGTGTTACAAGTACTGGCCTGACGACACAGAAGTTTATGGCGACTTCAAAGTGACTTGTGTAGAGATGGAGCCCCTTGCAGAATATGTTGTCAGGACTTTCACTCTGGGAAGGGTGAGCGTGTTTTGAAAGGGCTCGGCAAAATACTGTTCCCTGGTAGCAAAGAGCATGGAGGAGGCTATGCTTGCATGTGTTCCTGTACAGTACCAAATCCCTTCACCTGGTTAGCAGGTCCACAGTGTAGACAGCCTTACATCACCGTGGGAGTAATGCATTGTGTCAGCGCTATCCAAACATTCATCTCACTGTGGGATTTTGAATTGCCCCAGAAATGTTGACTGTTACCCCCCTCTCTGACAGTCACCTCTTCTCTGTAGCCACACTTCTGAGCTGAGCTCAAGTGCCAGGTTATGAGTCACGCCTGTCATTCATCTCCATTCACTCTGCCCTGAATGCTGCTGAGTCAATATCACTTAATCAAAAAACAAACTCTGTGAATGCAATATAGGTGGTACAGTTGTGGTCTTCTGGTAAATCATTATGCTTGCTTGTAAATGGAGCAGACCATTGTCTTAATTAGCAAAACTTCTGAAAATCGATGCAAATTGCTTCTAAGTCTGTGAAAAGAAAATCTAATTAAGCAAAATTAGCATGCTTTATGGCAGAAGGAAGAATTACAAACTTCAAAATGAAACAAAAAAAACAGTGACGTCTTTAAGCTCTGTATGGTCTTTGCTTTAAATCATTGATGAAATGATGAAACCAGCATGCAGATTCTATCACTGTGTGTTATCATTATATATCTAGTACATTAAATACTTTGAATTTCATAACCTTTTTTTGTTTCTTTGTTTGCCTTTTACAGAGGGGCTACAATGAAATCCGTGAAGTTAAACAGTTTCATTTCACTGGCTGGCCAGATCATGGAGTTCCTTACAATGCCACAGGCCTGCTTTCCTTTATACGGAGAGTCAAATTATCTAACCCTCCTAGTGCAGGGCCTATTGTTGTCCATTGCAGGTGTGTACAGAAGAGGTAGATTGATTTTTTTCCACAACTGTGTATGTGATTATTTACAGTAGTCTCTTGTGAAGCATCCATCATTTTGAAGTGTTTTGTTTTTGTTGTTCCTACTGCAGTAGGATTTGGCTGTCTACAGCAACGTTTGGAAATAACCGGTTTCTAGTACACTTTTCCTAAACAGAATAGCCAGAGATTTTCTTTACTGCAAGAGCGAAATCATATAATGCTTCAGGCTATCATTTTAGGTAGCCTACAACAATTTTGTGACAGCATTCAAGAGTAAGTGTAGATACAGCTGATTTGAAAGCTTGGTGTTGCATATAATGTCTGAACAGATTATTAATTTAAATCAAAGTAATCAAGTAGATGAAGGAATATGGAATGAGGTTAACGGCCCCAAATACAGAATGTTGTTTTTCCTGTGCAAGTTTGCAACGTTTGTGTTGCTGGGACAGAATGATTTGACAAATACAATTTTCTTTCACTACTGACAAATGTTTAATTACATTCTGTAGATAAAGTTACTCAGCATTTACAGATTTTAAGAATTCACTGTGCAAAAACTGTCCTAAGCTTTATATAAAACCAAAATAAATCAAGAGAGATTCTTCTGGATACTGTTAAATATGCTGTCTGAACCAGCTTACGGCTTGTATGTAAAATATACACTTGAGTTTCTTATTGTGATATTATCACTTAAAAATCATCCTTCGTCTTATTAAGTAAAACTAAGATCTGTCATATTTTGAAGTGCATGAGCTTAATCATCCTCCAGATTTCAATTTAGCTAACTTTTCTTTTTTTACTTTAGGTATTGATCTGAGTGATAAAAGGAGGAAACAAATTCTTTCTTAGCTGTTACTTAGTGGATCAAATCTGATGGAAAGAGGGTTTTTTGAGCACATCAAAAGATTCAAAGGACATTATGAGAAGAAGGAGAGAAGATAAAAATTAGATAGTGGTTGTGATGAAAGAACTGAGTGACTTTATAAGTACTCTCAGTAATGGGTTTATAAAGTAAGTGTTTTCCTGGGACTATTCCTAACAGTATTTACTGTTTCTTTTTAGTGCTGGTGCTGGACGGACAGGTTGTTATATTGTGATCGATATCATGTTAGATATGGCAGAAAGAGAAGGTGTTGTGGATATCTACAACTGTGTCAAAGCCTTGCGGTCCCGTCGCATCAACATGGTACAGACAGAGGTATGGCAGTTTACCTTCAAAGCACCTGGTGCTTTCTGAAACATGCCAGGTCAGAATTTCACCGTTATTCTGCAAAGAGCAGGCAGTGGCCCTGTTGAGGGGTTCTCTCCATTGGGGAGTATTGCTTAAGGCAAACAGTGCCCAGAACCAGGATGCTGCGACACACGTACCAGCTCCTTCAGTCTTCACACAAACAAGTGCCAGCCTAACTTTGTAACAAGAGGAAAGCAAGGAGGACTTTTTAGGGAAGACCCAACAGTAGGCCTGTCTGGCATGTCTCTCCTCTGCTCTGGAATCAATAATTCCAGGAACCCAAAGTTGGAATTTCATGAGGTTGCCGCTGGTTTTAGACTACCTCCAATCACTTTATCCATAATTTGACTTGCATGTGGAACTTCATGTCCATTTCACTCTTTCTTTTCAATTCTTGCTTTTATTTATTTTATTAACCTTATTGCCAAGCCTTTTTCCTTTATTTTTTACCCTTTTTGTCTTCTATCATGCGTTCAGGAACTCCACAGTAAAACTATTCCCTTAGTGATGAAGCTATAACAGCTCCCATTCTGCCACCTGAGTATCATGGAGCTTCCACAGAAACATAGGTGATGGATTTATATTAAGACAGGTTACCTGAAGTGGTTTGCCACTTCTCTCTCTTGTCTTCCTTGTGGACATCTACCTGAGAAGTTGTTTCACCTGTGACAACGTGCAAATCTCTGCAGTTGGCAGCCAGGCATATCAATGTAATTTGGTGCCATTTTTATTCTGTGCTGCAGCCTATGGCAGTTGAAAAATGTTCCTGATCAACTACCCCTGCTACAGGACCATTAACCTATGGGCAGTGCGTGGTGTGGAGTGTTTCAGTGTGACTACTTCAACTATCCTAGTTCAATCTGCTCTTTCATGTGAATTAACACCCCTACTGCTGTTCCTTTCCCTTTTGCCTCTTACCTCTCATCTTCTCTTAGAGGTTCATACCTACACAGCAAAATAAAGCTGTATTTGCAGCAAGTTCTTGTGATGGTCATCTGGACAACAGTGATGGCAATACCTCCGTAGCTATGTGAATAAGGCAACACAAGCTGTAGAGCCAGAATACGACCATGGTCCCTGGACATGTGCTCTTGTTACAGGCACGTGTTAAAGTTTTGCTGTTAATAACTTCGTCAGTATCCACAATAGCTAGGTGAGGCTGGCACAGTTCTTGCACTTTGCTGTATAGACATGATTTGCATCTATTACTCTCGGGGTGAGTAAATATAATAGACGTTGTGTAAAAATTGACAGGAGGCCTGATTGAAATAGTAATGCAGTTGTGTAGGACTCAAGATATCTCAAGGCTAGTAAGAAGAAAAAATGGGAAGAAATGCTATTTCTGTTGGGACACACTTGAATTTATTACTGGCCTAAAGCTGCCTATCAGACCGTTGATGTACTAGCTTGTACATGCATAAGGAGCATGCAGTGTGCCAAGTAACTGCTGATCACTCTAGTAGTGCTTGAAGCAATTTACACTTGCAGCTAGTATTATAAGACTGAAAGCTATTTACAAAAACCAAAACGAGTAAAGCCAACAAGTCACTGGCATATACACAGAAACCCCCAAGCACCACAAGAAAACTGAAAACCTCTTGCTAAATATATTGCTATGCCTGTTCTGTTAAGTTTTACTGAATTTAATTTGGTTCTAAAGAAAAAACCCATGTTAACTGCATCCCAATTAGGACAAGACTGTGTTTGTACTAAAGTGTTATTTAATGGATTGATGGACACTACCTTGAATGAACTTACAATCTTTACCTGTTTATCCTAAAAGAAGGAAATATTTGGGTTTTTTTTTAAATGGCTATAATTTTTGTTTCTTTGCCTGATTTGATAGGAGCAGTACATCTTTATTCATGATGCCATTCTAGAAGCTTGCCTGTGTGGAGAAACTGCTATTCCTGTCTGCGAATTCAAAGCTGCTTATTTTGATATGATTAGAATAGACTCTCAGACAAACTCTTCACATCTCAAAGATGAGTTTCAGGTATTCACAGTTCCTAGTAACTCTTCATGTGACAATGATTTTTTTCCCTCTAGATACATTTAATTTATTTTAAGGGAAAGGGTTTTCATATCATGTTTATAGTATTTGGTCCTTTACTTTTAGTCCACAAAATAAAGCACCCGTGTTTACATGCTTTGCAAAGTTGTTTTAAATATGGAATATCCTCCTTTGAATAAAATTGCAGTAAATATCTGTCTGGAATACAGAGCACTGACTGGGAACCATAGAGAGTTTTGGCGTACATTTGCACAGCTAAGGCACAGCTCTTTAGGGCTTCAAAGGATCCTGTTTGTTTTCTTCTTTTTGGAGGCAATAGGGTCATGCTGAATCTGTTCAGTGGTACACGAAGTGCCTTTTACACCTGCAGCTTAACCCCCCTTGGAAAGCTCCAGCATGTCTGTCAAACAGATAGCAGCTCTTACGGGCTCATGTTCTCACTAGTGACTCCGTTTTCCCGTATCACAATATTTTAAATTAAGACTTGGGGAATCTCAATTCCGTTGTCTGTTAGTTCACCGTGATAAAGAGAGCGTCCTCTCTCCCTTAGACCTTGAATTCTGTGACCCCTCGCCTGCAAGCGGAGGACTGCAGCATAGCCTGCTTGCCAAGGAACCACGACAAGAACCGCTTCATGGATATGCTGCCACCTGACAGATGTCTGCCTTTCTTAATTACTATTGATGGGGAGAGCAGCAACTACATCAATGCTGCTCTTATGGACGTAAGAGACTGTCTTCTTTGTCTGTGTAGTATGCTGTGAAAAGATGTGTAATATGAGAGAGAGCTGGTTACAGAAAGGGTAATTCTTTCTTACTGTAGTGCCCAGTAAAACAGTCCTAACAAAGAAGGGTGGGGGGAATGGGTCAGAAACCCCACCAGCTTGTGCTGCTTGTTCGTTATCCTTAGTCTTTTGCATCTTTGTGAGACCCACTAGAAATCTCCTCTTTTCAACAGCATTATATAAAGCTCTAGTCTCCAGCCCTCCAAATCTCAAATCGCAGCAAGATCAAAAATCCACTGTTAGTTGGGAAGTAAATAACACCTACCTGAGCCTGAGGTTACTGTTGCTATTTTATAAAAAGACTATGTATATTGAGGCAGGAGAGACAGGGGAAGAAGGAAAAAAATTGATTCTTTAGCATGTTTGGGGATGGGGTTGGGGTTATTGTTGTTCGTATTTTGAGTTGCAGCTCTTTGAAGTTTGAATGACAGCAGTATTGTCAGTGGAAAAAGTGAATTAAGGGGAAAAATTGAGGTGAACCTGCTTATAGGTGTCTGATTGATAAAGCGGTTCATTACACTTGCTGTCAGATACTTGCCTGTGCCTGCCATTAGCATTTCCAAAGTTAGATGCCTAAAGCCACCTTTACAGTAAGTACTTAAATAAGTGGCCTGATTTCCAGGAGCATGTCCCCTTCCTCAAAACTGAAGTGCTGTCAGAAACTGTGGTGTCAAGAAGAGATGCTGGAATAAAATGGCAAATAGCAGCAGAAATCATCAGGACTGAATGGTATATTCATCCTGGACTTCTGCCTGAGCTAGTGCAGGAAACATGTGAACTGCTAGCAAAATGTAGTCCCTAATCTCGCAATTAGCTATTGTGCCAGTAAAATAGAGGAGTAGCATGTGTGAAGACCAGTCTGTCATGGAGTCACTGGGGCTGAATGGATGAATTAGAGCAGTGAGTAGAATTTTAGTAGCAACTAAAATTGTTTAGAATTGCAGTTAAAATTACATTAAGCACCTGGATAAAATTGATGTGCTATGGACCAACCAGCACAGCAGCATAGAGTGTGGTTTGGGGAGAAAGGAAGACAACGCAGGCTGAACAGCTGGTGGCAGGACTCTGAGTGTGTAACAGTGTGTGGCAGGCAGGGACAGGAACCAAGCAATGTATTAATGGATGAGCAATCAGAGGCAAGTAAGGAAAGACAGAAAAGGTAATAATAAAAGGAAAAATGCAGCAGAAAAAAAGTCATGTATTACAATGAAGGCTATAAGTACAGGGTTAAAACTTTGGGTAAGAAAGCTTTTTTTCTGCTCTTTCTTTTCTGGTTTTTTAAAGACTGGTTTATTCAGAAAGGGGGACCGTACCACTGGGCAAGGAAAGGGGATTTTCAATAGCAAAGCGGAGATGGAAATTTTCCCCTTTCCACAATGTACTTGTCCCTGTGTTCCCACACGAAGGTGTCTGCTTCCCAGTGTGACAGCAGATGTCCTGCCTATTCTTTTTGAAAACCTGATCATCCCAGACTCAGTTCATTCTCTTATCTCAGGAAAGACCAAAAATGATGGGGAAAAGAGCTAGGAAAACATCAGTTAGTGCATGTTTTATTTCTTAAAAATACAAGGGGAGGATCAATATTGTTTGTTCCTCTTTGCTGCCTGGGCAGATCTGGGAAGTAGGACACAAGCTGCTACCACCCCAATATGCTTCCTGCATTAGAAAAGGATAGCAAACATACATAAAAAAAAACTTGTCAGCCTCGTTATTCTGTTGTCAAACAAGTACTGATGCTAAAGATATTGTTTTGTTATTATCACAATTTACAGCAAGTTAACAGGGTGAAAAGAATTGTATTTTTTCCTTCTGGGCCTCAAACTGTGCTTTTCGAGGGTATGTTAACATATTGCACATGAAGGATCCCTTATATGAGTCTTCAAACAGACAAGGTTCCATACCAGAAGTGGTTTACCTGGCCTACCAGGTTTCTCCTAGGTTAATTTACTTAATTCAGTAAAAAACCAGCCAGACTGCTTTTGGTACCAGCATGGGTGCTAAACACAGGGATCTCTGCATTGCATACAGCAGTCTCAGCACTTCACCTTCAAACAGGTGACTTACAATCCCAGCTGTCTACAAGAATATACACCATCTTACTCTGTTTCTCAGATTACCCTGTCGGTGCTTCCTTGACAGTTCATTTCTGTATTCCTTCACTGAATAGTTACAAACTGCCTGCAAAAAACTTCTGACCTATCCTTTTCTGCTTGCTGCTCGTAATACATGTGCTGCAGGGAATTAGCCCCTCTGGTATTAGTTGCATCTCAACTAACCTATGCAAGGCTGGAAATCCCTATTTGCGGTTGTGTATAATGCAGCATACAGAAAATGGAGTCTGCTCTCACGACAGACAATAGTATTTTGCTGTTTAATTTCTGCTTTCTGCTGGAAATGGGCCACAGTAACCCTGGAGGTCAGTTCCATGGATGAGCCTGTAGCTGTGGCACCAAAACAGAATTTGAGATTGAGCTTAGTCCCTAGTTCAGTCACAGGGCTCATGTGTAACCTGCTGTGGATGGGGTGACCTTCTGAGACCTCTACACCCCTCTCTGCAACACAGGGAGAAGGATTCCTGCTCAGTCTCTTGGACACAGTGCCTGGAGCCCGGTTGCCCGAGCCTCAGCTCAGCAGAGCCCTGAAGAGCATCTTCAGTGACCCATGCGTATTTGAACTGAAACAGTGCTTGGCTTGTAGCAAAGCAGAAGGCAGACCTGAGCAGAGCAACCTCTTTGTTCTTACTGGAGACGATAATGTATTTTTAACATCAGCTTTGGTGAAATCTGGTGTGATTGATGTCACAGCTTTGTTCTATTTATATGTTTTTTCTGTTGCAATGATTGAGTGGAAGTTATTAAGTACTTCCTCTACCGGTGCTAATAAAATCGTTTGCTTTTACAGAGCTACAGGCAGCCAGCAGCTTTTATTGTCACACAACATCCTCTACCAAACACTGTGAAAGATTTCTGGAGATTAGTGTATGACTACGGCTGTACTTCTCTTGTGATGTTAAATGAAGTCGACTTAGCACAGGTTAGTTTGGGGCTCGAGTTTTCCATGTACCATCTCATGCTTTAATCACGCTGGATCCACTCTATGATCAAAATGTAGAGCACTGCAGTGGCTTTGCAGTTATCCTCCGCTGTATAGCAACTAATTAACACTAGTTGCTCAGGAAAGGTTAGGTGAGATGTCTGCAGTGGAATAAGGCAATATTCAAATTGTAACTTACCATTTAATTATGCTCATTTTGCTCTGGGACAGGGCTGCCCACAGTACTGGCCCGAGGAAGGGATACTGCGATACGGTCCCGTTCAAGTGGAGTGCATGTCATGTTCAATGGACTGTGACGTCATAAACCGAATTTTCAGGATATGCAATCTAACAAGAGTAAGCATTATCATAACAATATGCAATGGAAAAATATTTTTAATGCTCTCTAGTCTCTTGTGGTTTTTAATTTTGAATAATAGTAGAATACTAATGTTAAGACATTAACCAGAAAAGGGTCAAGCATCGATACCTAATACTAATTTCTAGTACTTTTCTGCAGCTACACACTAAGCAGAGAGAGCAGTAAGGTGAATGACTGTTGTTCTGTGGTGTTCTCCCTGATGCATAGAAGATGTAAGAGAAGTATTCTGTTTGTTCAGTGTGCAGTGAAAGAAATATCCCTGTAATGAGCATGTAGTACCAGGTATTTAATTCTTAGCTTCTGTAAGATATCTTCTGTGGTGAATCAGGAACAGGAGTGCTGAGGCTGGTTGTGCAACCAGCACCTTCTCAGCCTAAGGTGCGAGAACCACAACATAAAAGGAAGATCGTGTCACCCTGCAAAGCGGGTGTGAAAAAACTCTGAAAGCTCCTCGGCCTCTGAAGAGTTCTGCACCTCTGTGCCTTGACCTACATTTATCATCTTTTTCTCAGCTTCAGTAGCAGTGCCAGTCTTGCATTCTTGTCAGCTCTTTCACACCTTACATCTTCTTGTCTTTCTGCTGTCCCATAGTGTTCCACACTGTCGCAGCGTCTTCTCAAACCCTGTTTGCCATGCAGTGCCTCCTCCTTTAGCTCTCCTCTATAAACTACTTATTTATGTTACCTACAGATAAAGAGCTACAGATGCTTGTGCCACAGTTAGATGTACAGTTAACCAGCAATCCCCATTTTACTTATCATTATTACTTTGTATCTTTCATCCAATACTGAACTTACACAACACAAGTTGCTACTTGGAGTATATGTTTAACTTTCGTCAATGTTGAAGAACAGCTGTGGGGAAAACTGATCACTGTGTGTATACAAAGCTTTTTTTTTTTCTTTTATTTTGGTCACATTTTCATTTTTTGAAGTGCAGAGATCAGTTTGTGTGTGGCCAGTATTTTGTCCAAACCTTTATTTTGCTTATATTCAGAGCTAAGAAAAACATTTTCAGCTCTTCATACCTTGTTTGGAAACTACAGGAAGCTAAGCTGGAGGCACACTGGCAAATATTACGCCATGGCACTTTCTTGGTTGTATTTTGAGACTTCCTCTCTTTTTATGATTCATTTCTTATTTTCCTTTTTCCACTTCTTCTTTTTTACAGTGTTTTGATTTTCTTCTCCTCTGCTTCTCTTTGTCTCCCATGCCTTTTCACTGTTACATCTGGCTACTAAATGTCTCTCTGCTCTGTTCTTCCTTTCCTAAAATCCACATTCCTACTCCTTTTTGTCTTCTTCCACTCCAAGAAACTGAATAGACTATTTATTCCTCCAATTATTGAGGCCTTCCTTGTGACAGTCTAATTCTATTCAAAGCTCTCCCTGTGTAGCATCTAGCACATGGAAGGCTCAGAGACTGGCAGCAAGGCTCTCACAATAACCATAGTCTGGCAAAAAAAAGGAAGACTTAGAGGAAAATAGTCATGTTTGTGCACCAGTATTACTTGTTTATTTGTAATGGGGTCGGTTCATGCATGGGAGCCCAAGGTATGTCTCTTCATTTCTGTAGGTCTAAGAATTTAACAGTGATGTTTTTAATTGGTTATTGATGTTAAGAATAAAAACCCTTACATACAGAATCTAGGGAATTTGTCCATTTAGAAAAAGTCAGGATAGGTTACATTAGTGATTGATAAACTGTGGACTGATAAACTGTGATGTTGTCTTCAATGTAGTTCCCTTTTTTCACTCTTTTGACATCTTCATTGAGGTCAAGTGATACAAACTAATGGAGACCCTGCATGTTGGCATCTGTCCATAATATAAACACTTAGATTCATGTTATTTTTATATTTTGGTTTTCTAAACCAAGATGTAAAGGTGCTGTATTGACCTAAAGCTCTTTGGTTTCCCTCAGCCGCAAGAGGGCTATCTGATGGTGCAGCAATTCCAGTATCTGGGATGGGCTTCTCACAGAGATGTACCAGCTTCCAAGAGGTCCTTCTTGAAGTTAATTCTCCAGGTTGAAAAATGGCAAGAGGAATGTGAAGAAGGAGAGGGCCGGACCATCATCCATTGCCTGTGAGTAACTGGGAGAAAGCCAAACTGCTGCTCTTCAAATATATGCTTATAAATTAGTTCTTAAGTTCAAGCAGTATTCTTATGGCTACCTTCTTTTGCACATGCCCTTGTTTCTTTAATTAAAAAAAAAAAAAATAAAAGAAAAAAGTACCACTGGTACTGTAGGTTGGCTTTTGGTCAACTTTCAGATTTGTCTGTGTCAGGTCAAGGTACCGTGGGAATGAGTATTTTGGACATGATACTACAGTGATACTGTGTATTGACTTCTGTACATAATAGCATGGTTTTTGGGTACAAAATGTGTACAGATCAATTTCTTCTGTACGGTTTCAGTAAGGAAGTCTTTTATGCAGAGTGCCAAATGGTTATTTTCTATCTCTTGCATATCATTTTTTCCAGAAGGCCTACTATATTTTGAGAGTTATAGTCTGAAAGGTATGGATAGATGAAATCAGAGAAAAGTTCTGTAATACAGTACATGATCCTAAAACTATTGTTGGTAAATTTCCACTGGCTGCTTACCTGATCCTGGTATTTAAATGGGAACTGGTTTGGGTGGTTTGAAAAGGCAGCATCTTTTTCTCCCTAAGCAGAGAATAACCACTCTTTCTTCTACCTTATTTAAATGTAAAGACTTAGAATGGAATTCCACTTAGAAATGGATTTAGGCTTCTGTTTGAATGTTCAGAACTAGCTTGTGGCTCATTTGTGCCCACCCCTCCTCATTATCTGTGGAACTTTCTGGCTAATTTAAACCTAAGAAGAAGTACCTACCTTAATTTCTTTGAAATTAAAATTAAAATAGTTCAGAAATATCCCCAATGTTAACAAGATATCCAATCAGTAATGCCTTGGCATTTCTCTGGCTGGATAATCATCATACGATAGGATAATGTGAGTCTCTTTCCAGAACTAAATGGAAAATGTTGTACTTACCATCGAACTTGGGTTTTAATTTCTAATGTTGTACTTGCCATTGAACTTAATCTTTTATTTCTAATACCTATGTAAATTAGGCTGTAGCATAGCTGGGCAACATAGTGGGCTGTAAGGGCAGAATTCAAAAGAAATAATTGAGAGTAAGGTCAGAAACAGCAAATGTCACACACCAAACCCACTGGAGGTGCAAGGAGATTGCTAAAGCCTGGTCTCCCTGTGGGACTCATGAATCACCCATGCTTAAAGAGACAAAGAACAGAAATGTATTTTGGATACTCTCTTATGCCATACTGACATTTAACCAGCTCTTTGCCTTGTGTCCAGAAATGGCGGTGGCCGGAGTGGGATGTTTTGTGCCATCGGCATTGTAGTTGAAATGGTAAAAAGGCAGAACGTGGTGGACGTTTTTCATGCTGTGAAGACTTTGCGAAACAGTAAGCCCAACATGGTAGAAACTCCGGTAAGTACCAGCCCGTCGGGGTTCCTGCAGACAGCTAAGGAGGCAGAGGCTCTCTTGTTGTCTGAGCTCCATGCTCAGTCCTGTGCCCACAAAACAGAGCGAACCTATGTTGGGCCGCAGGGAGAAAGGGACATGGGCTTTGGGTCCCAGGCTCCCCTTGTACTGTAAACTGAGTAGAAGCTGGTGTGATTCTTGGCGTGAGTGTAAGGTTGGGCATGTTATGTCCTGTGGTAGAAATGTATTGAGTGTACACACAACTCAGCAGCACGAGAGGCCAGCCTAAGCATTTACACTACTTCCCTTGTAGTGATACTGTGCTTTTCACAGAAAACATTCTGAGTTAACAGAATGCACTGTAACCTCCCAAAATAACCAGGTCTATTTGAAGAGAGGTTGCAGTGTGTTGTGCTTACACATACCGTCCTGAAATTTTACAGAGCAAGGCATTTCTTCTTGGTAGGAATAAACTGTATAGTCCAAATTAGTAGATATTAATATTTTGCTTCTTAATAACAACTGCTGCTTTGGAAGCTGTATTGAATAATGATGATGTTTGTTACTCAGATTTGTAGTAGTCAAAATGATACTTGAGAACTTTAAAATCAAAGACATGCGTCTATTATGTTGGAAATGAATATGTAGAATCATAGAATTATTTAAGTTGGAAAAGACTCTTAAGATCATTGAGTCCAACAGTTAACCTAAATAATAAACAATATAAACAATAAATTAATATAATCGATATGAGCCTGAATTAGCAAAAGCACAAACTAAATATTTCTATGCACATTGTCAGAACTCAGAATAACCTTCACTCTTCTGATCCTTCTCTATGCATACATTATGAGTGTATATTCATCCATGTGATCACTTCAAGTCATGAAAACTGAATGTTGTGGAAAGTCCTTAAAAAAAGTCTCACAAGTTGATTTTTTTCCTTCCTGTAGGTGAACGTGAAAGCAGGTTAGACAGAGTTTTGGAGTTTCTGCCATTTGACTCCTCTCACACTGCCAGCAGCCAGTGTCACTTTTCAGACAGATGGCTGCATACAGCATAAAAATCAGGGATGCCAATTGAAGTTAAAAAATCGTTTGCAGTTTATGCATAGTGAAAATTGCTTCTAACCTTGTGAACTTGCATATTGAGCAAAATGGCTGTGGCTGCATCTTCCCATATTGCCCTTTTTTCCAGGTGTCACTATTTGCTTAGTATCAAGTAGCTTCTGTGGCATAATTTGCTTAAGTATTGTGCATCGCTTCCATCCATTGCCACCACATAAATTAAGAAGATGGTTAAAATATTAACAGGTAGAGCATCCTGTAGCAGCAATGACATTGGGCTAGGTATTGCTGGTTTTGCCGCAAATATTTTGCATTCTGCTGTGCCATACACATCTGAGACACAACATATTGAATTGCTGCCTGGACTTCAGTTCACTGCTGTGAAGAAAACAGGTCACGTCACATGGAAAATTACTTGTATCACTGTTTCTGTAAACCTGTATTTCGTTTCAAAATAGTCCTGAATTCCATAGAATCATAGAATGGCTAGGGTTAGAAAGGACCTTAAAGATCATCAAGTTCCTACCCCTCATCCATGGGCAGGGACACCCTCCACTAGCCCAGGTTGCTCAAAGCCTCATCCAGCCTGGCCTTGAACACCTCCAGGGATGGGGCATCCACAACTTCCCTGGGCAACCTGTTCCGGTGTCTCACCACCCTCACACTGAAAAATTTCTTCCTAATGTCTAGTCTAAATCTACCCTCTTTGAGCTTATGCCCATTACCCCTTGTCCTGTCACTACACTCCCTGATAAAGAGTGCCTCCCCATCTCTCCTGTAGGCCCCCTTCAGGTACTGGTAGGCTGCTATTAAGTCTCCTTGGAGCCTTCTCTTCTCCAGGCTGAACAACCCCAAATTCTTTCAGCCTGTCCTCATAGGGGAGGTGCTCCAGCCCTCTGACCAATTTTGTGGCTCTCCTCTGGACTCTTTCCAATAGGTCCAAGTCTTTTTTATGTTGGGGGCCCCTACATCTGAACACGGTACTCGAGGTGGGGTCTTACAAGAGCAG